TTATCCACCTCTCTACATGTAAAAACCTGTTTCCTACTCTGAGCTCAGAGCCCTGATCTGCTAGGGTGACTTTGTCCCTTTCTCTTTAAAAATGGGTAGGCAAATAAAAAAATGAGTTCAACCTAGAAGCAGCAGCTCAGTAACGGAAATGAAAATATCAGAAGTTACCTAATCACAGTTACAGCCATGCTGAGCTCTGTCTTATCTTCTGGTTAATAAAAAGAAATGAGACTTTCCTAAACTTGAAGAACATCAAATAAAATAAAGATATTTGCCCTGGCTTGCCCCTAGCTTTTGGAAGGATATGCCAAGCGGTTTAACCACTGTATACTAATTACAAAACATTGGCATAAATTCAAAACGCCTATGTTCTAGGAAAGTTTGGGGAATCTTGTTTTTTGTTTTTTTAGTTTGTTTTGATATACAGCAAAAAATAAAACACAAACAACTTTGAGAATAGAAATTGTTAAAAAGGGAGTAGAAGAGAGGAGTGGGGGAGAAAAGAATACTTTATTTGAAGTTAAAGTCGTTCTGGGTTTGTTTTGGGTTTTACTTTTCTTTTTCTTTTCCTTTCTCTTTCTGTCTTTTTTTTTTTTTTTTTTTAATAAGAACAGGGTTTAGATTCAGTTTAAGGAGAACACGTTAAAGTACCTTAAACAGCTCAAAAATGCTGTTCAGGAAAGAGAAAACCAAGTTGAGCCAAGAAAAACCAGAATAGTGCTTTTAAAATCCCTGGCAAAGCAGCAAGAGGATGAACAGTTGGTTTTACACAGTTTGGAACACAGAGTGTAAAGGTGCTGAGCTATGTCTTTCCAAAAGGCACTGAGTTCCTACGGAAAGGGAGCGGGGCGGTTCTCTCAAATTTCTCTTGCAAACTTTTCCCAGGACACTCTCCCTTCCCCAGCCCACCCCCACTACTCATCTTCCCTCCCCGCACCTCCCAAATCCACGCGTTAAGCCCTTCATAAGTTCGTGCCCCGGGCATCATCTCTGCAGCTTGTGATTTTTCCTGGAGCCTGGCAAGTTCTGGGACTGGAAGCCAGTCCTGCAAGGCCACCCGGGGGCGTGGTCGGATCTGGACGGTAGAATGGGAAATGGAGGCTTAAAGCCCACCTACTTCAAGAGGAAGGAGGACTGCATTTTTCTAGGAGTATTCACCAGGGTCAGCCTGCTCCCCACCGAATGGCAATCATCACTCACTTGACTTGGCATGGGCCAGCTCCTAATTGCCTCCCTCGATTCAGTCCTAGCAATCCTTGCGCGTCGGTGCTCTTTAATCGGCTGTGGCTTGGCTTCAGTGACCCCTCCAGTCCCGGCCCCTCCCCTCCGTGCCCCTTTCCCTGCGGCTGCTTTATTTAACAGAGGAGGAACCGCCGAGGGACTCAGCTGAATCCAGGCGCTTGCAAGCCTATTGATTAGTTTTAAGCCAGAGAGCCCTGGACGCAACTAAATATTACTGGAACCTCATCGTAAGGAGGGTGGGAGAGCAGGGTGAGAGGCTGAATCCAACCACAGCCAAGTCAAGCCATTGGATACCACTACGATGTCCCACAGCTTGCTCACAGTCAGAGAGGAAGCTGCAACTTCGGCAAGGACTCTTCCCTCCTCTTCCCCGATTTCTAAAACAGTAACCCCACCCCCACTTCAGGGCTTCCCTGACCTGCTCCTCACCCGGTGCGCTGCGGTCCCCTCCGCGGTCTTCCTCCCCGCTCTATTCTCCCCACCCCACCTGAGCGAGTTGGGTGGATGTCAGAAGGCCAGCTGTATGCGATGAAAGTTCCTTTAGATTAAAGACAATGCTCGCAGCTGCTTCTTAAGACAACAGCAGCAATGATAAACAGGCAAATCTGAGCGAAAACCCGTGCATCTCAAAAGTTGGTCTTGCTACGCAGCAGCCCCGACAGACTTTGCAATCATAGCGCCCCAAGAACACAGGAATACAGAGTTAGCATTTACTTACCTGGGTGTGCCAAGCTCGAAGAGTAGAAAGAGAATTCAGCCCGGGACGAGGTCTGTCCCGCCCCCAGGATGCAAAATCCGGCTTTGGAGCGAAGGTGGTAGGTGTTGCAGTTGTGTAGTGGTGTTAGGGTTGCGGGGCGGGGGTCGGACTGCCCTCCCACCTCGTGCTCAGGGGCCAGGTTAGCAACAGCGGACGGAAAAGATGCTGAGAGGAGACTTTGGTCTCTCCGGAAACCCTGGCTCCATTCTTGGCGATGGGGGTGGGGGAAGAGGGTGAAAATGTTGCGGATGGCAGGTCGGCTGTCGGTTAACTCAGAGAGTAAAGAGAAGGGCACTGGGGAAAGAGGGAGAGAGTGGAGAGGAGAGCAGGAGGAAGGAAAGGAGGAAAGAGGAGAAGCGGACAAGAGCGGGTGGTGGGGAGATGGCAGCTTCTCACAGAGAGATTTCCACCTTCTGACGAAACCCATGCGCCCAGCCACCCGGCAAGATACTAGTTCAGAAACCTCCGCGCGAGCGCCCCCTGGGGGGTTCCGGCGGATACGAGCATTGCCCCGGGAACGCGAGTCCACCGCCCCGCCCTGGACTTGGCGGCGGCGCTCTCCGTGGTCCTGCCGCGCCCACAGTCCGAGCTTCCTGCTCACCTTTGTTACTCACGCTGGACTCCTGGAGACACCCGATTCAGTTCTCCAAGCGCTTGATCCCCATCTCCACTCCAGGGTAAAGTAGTAATATCGGGGGGTGGGGAGAATGGGAGTTACACTTTTTTTTTTGCACATATTTCAAGAAAACTTCCTGGATGAATTCTCAACTGTCACTAGAAATGGCGAAAGTATTGCTAAGTTCTGTATCCTCAGTGTCTACAACAGTGCCAGGTACATGGCAGGAGCCCGGTAATTTTTTTTTTTTACTTTTTTATTTTTTTAGTAAATAAATGCATGAGTAAATGAACAAAGAGTCTTTTCTTTATCTCATAATATCTTCCTAAGTATATCCACCTCCCAAATAAGATAAGGAAATGCTTAGAGAGTGCTTATGTTTAAAAATCAACATAAACATGCTGTCTTATGTAAGGGGTAACTACTGCCACATGTTATAAACCACTTCCGAAAGACAGAATGGCTTTCCTGTTCCAAACTTATTGAAATTCAGACAAATCAACAACGAAGGGACATACTGGCATTGTTTCTGATTATTTCTGCTACCACAGGTAAAGTAGACAACTAAATTATCTCAGCACAGAGGTATTCTCAGACTCACAAATTGGGCTTCAGAATCCATAAAGTACATAAAAGCCTTTTTATGACACTGGGATGGCATAGAGGGTGTTATAATCTAATACTAACAAGGATACGGAGAGATGGGAGGGTTTTCCTTCCCACCCTGTTAAGGCACTGTTGGACAAGGCCTTGCTTCAGGTTGAGAGGTTATCAGCCAAAAGAAAAGCTTTTCACCAACTGCAGAGTTCCCAATTTGAAAGGCCAAAAACGGAGAAAAAATAGGATAAGGAGCAGGAGCCCCATTAACAGTTCTGTAGAAGCTATTAGAAAGATCTTTGAGAAGCAGAGAAACAACCCTTAGAAAGAATAAAAATAATATTTGTCTTCCCTCCACTCACCTCTCAAACCCTTCTGAAACAGAACAACAGTATACAGAGACCCTAGAAAGGATCTGAGGGAGCTTGCCTATACACTGAAACTCCCACATAAGTCCTTGGATTTGCTTTGGTTGGGAAAACTTGGGTCATGTGGTTATGCACAAGCCAATCATAGTGGCCTTGGCATATAGGATTACACCAATGGGTTAGTCCTTCCAGAGTGTCTGGGAGTATACAATGTGCTCTGCAGCACTCCTGGAGCCAGGATGGAGCCTCACCTGATACACACACACTGAGAGTGAGACCAGGGTTGTTTCTCCAAGGGATTTTCGGAGTCCTCCTACCAGAAAAGGGAGGATGGATGCAGGGCAGGCAAAACCAGTGCATGTTTACTAAATATGAAAATATTAAGTCAAAAAATATCCCTTTCAAGTTTTATTAAGAAGTAGTCTCAGAGATAAACTTAATGCTTGAGTTGGGTTGAGCTTGCAAAGATAAAGGAGGAAAAAAAAGAAAAGTCATTATGCATTTTCCTGCATGTTGATTGTGTTCTTTAAAATTTAAGTTTCATGAAGGTAGATGATATTCCTGTTTTGTTGTCTTGTTTGTGATTATAATCACAATGCCTAGAAAGGTATCTGTCATGTAGCAGGTAGTCAATAAACATTTGTTAAACAATAATTTAAATATCTTAGGGATCATTTAACATAAGCCTCTTATTTTATAGGTGAGAGAAAAGGAATTAAGATGTCCTGATCATGTACTATTTTCAAGCAGTCTGTTAGGCACTCTATTTACCATCCCATTTAATTTTTACAACAATCTGCCTAAGTAAGTTTTATTGCATCTACAAAAATACTGGAGTTTGGGTGGCTGCAATGACCGGAGCAAGGAACACAATTAGTGAATGGGAGAACAAGGGGTGTTAATTGAAACAGGCTCTGAAGGGAAAACTATGAAAGGATTAATATACATGGACCATAGAGCAGAAGTTATAGAGTCAAAACCCATGGTGGGGATCGGGGGCAATACCAGTACAGTTATCTTTGGCCCTCCATGTTAAAAATATAGACACACAAACTAAACACAATTCTACAACTTATGACAAACATGGTTTCCTCTGCCAGCAGGCTTCAGCTCCCTAATTAGAAACAAACAGTTGCCTGCATGCCAGTATGCAGAACACATGTGCAGCTTTATGCCAGAAACTTGGAATTTTTTTTCAAGGCATGACACTGAAGGTAAATTCAAAGAGGCTCTTTGCAGGGCATATAAAGCAGAATTTACTCCCACCCTTCATATGAAATCAACAGCTCATCTGTATAAATGAAGATTATGACCAGCTAGTAAACTATGTTTTCAATCCCTGCCCCCACAGCAAGTTGCTCACCAGTCAGAGTCCCCTCAACAATTGTAACATCAAAATATCCTTGTCTGTACCACTTACCTCCGCCCAACTCTCCTTTTCATGGATTCTGAGCTGCCAGGTTCTACAGTCATAATCAAAATTATCTAAAGCCAAGCCTCAGAGGAACGGTGGCACTGGTGTTCCCAAGCTGCAAAGGAAGCTCCAGCTCTGGGTAGATTCACTCGCCGAGTCTCTGTTTGATAACATAAGGGGAGGCATCCGTTCGGTGTCTTATGCCAATATGAAAGGCATCTCACCCATCACTGTGACGAGTGAAATGCTGGAATGGAGCCAGGGAACAAAGGGAAAGAAATGTGTATTCTTACCAATGCAGTTGATATCATTTTTTAAGGGTAGCAGATGATGAAGGGGAACGACAGGCAGAGAGTCAGTGCCCTGCATCAAAAACCTTGGATCCTTCCCTGAATGAGTCAGGGTGAGCAGTTTGTTTTGAAATTGAATTTCTGTTTTCTTTTTTTTCTTTTGAGCTGTAGGATGGTTACATACTCAACTAGTCAAGAAGACTGCTGTGAATAACAGGATTTATTTTTGAGACTGTGGATCAAATAAGAACCCTGAATTTCACCCCAGGGTTATTTATAGCTCACAAATTTTGTTCTTTTTTTCTATTTCAGGTACTTACGAGAATTGACTAATATGTCTTCCTCTGGAGTTTCTGTATGTGCCTGAGGTAGGTTGTATTACTGGAAAGCAGAGAGGAACACTCTAAGCAATCATTTGTAAGATGCTAAGAGTCAAAGGAGAACGAATACACGTGTTCCAAGCTGATGCTAGGATTATATCTTCCACTGTCATTCTTTTACATGGAAACCCTGTGTGAGCTGTGGTGACTCCACCACTAAGTAACAAGCTATGCTGTGAAAAGACACCTTATACTTTCGTCTACCAATAGGTGGCATCAAAATCTCTCTAGCTTTTCTTTCCTGTATTTTAAAAACCGTAGGCACAGGGAATTTTCTTTCTGAGATTTTACATTTTACCATGAGTGATATTATAAAGACCACTAAATCAGCTCTATATTATTTCACAGCAGATAATCCCATTTATCTATTAATAAGGCCTTTTAGTCATCCCTCTGAGCCTCAGTTTCCTCATTGTAAAAAGAAAGTATTTGAATTGAACTCCAGCTTCAAGATTCTGCTTTTCAGCTACTTAATATCTTCCCAGACAAATCGTTCCTCAGGCCTGTGATAAACCCATTAGGACTCCATTCTTCCGGGCTTAAGGAATGTTAGTGTGCAGCTATCCCTCTGTTGCAGAGACTGCTATTTGCCCAGCATATTTTCATTTTTGTTTCTTTGTTTTCCTTAATAAGAAAACCACAATTTTGTAGGAGGTAGGAATGTGCTCAGCTCCAAACCTACATTTTCCAGCCTTTCTTGCGGATGAGGTAGTCATGTGACTAAGGTCTAGTTCAATACGGTAGCCACAAATAGGCACATGTATCTATATAAATGTAAACTTATTAAAATGAAGCAAAATTAAAAGTTGATTTTCTCAATTCCATTAGCCACATTTTACATGCTGAATGAGCGATTAGTAGCTAACATCTGGGAGAGTTCAGATAAGGAATATTTCCATCATTGCAGAAAGTTCTGTTGTACAGCTCTGGTCTAGCCATCGAGATGTCAGTGGAAGTTACAGAGAAGTTTCCATGAGAGTCTTAAAAGGGAAGGAGATACTAGCTCAGCTGGAAGGTAGCTTTATCCCTTTGTCTCTTCCCTTCTTTCTGCCTGAAGGTTAAGGTGGGTCAGCCATCACGTGACCATGAAGCAGCAAGCATTTGCCAAGGCAGGGTAAGCAGAAAGATAAAAGTGACCTGGGTCTTTGATATCATAAAGGCAACCACATTATTGTCAGTTTTATTATGAGAAAAATAAAACCCTCAGTTGATTCAAGCCACTATTTTAGCTTTTCATTACTAACAGCCAAATATTATTTCTAACTGATGTACCCTCAGAAAGTTACCTGAACAACTTTCTATTAATGAGTTTGTATAAACAAGTATCTTTCCAGTTTCCTTTACTTTGGTTATAGTTGAGGACAAGATTCTAGCTAAAAGAAACAAAACAATGTATATACCACAAAGTGATAATTATTAATCATTCATTTCAATATGTCAAATGGCCCAAAGAGAGGTAGATAGGCATTAATGATGCCCAAATGACTATCCCTTATTTTATAGTTTGGCTGAAAAATAGTTTTGCATTTTCCCGGAAAAAAGGTTGGTGGGTATGGAGATAAAAGTAAAATAATATTTGATCCTGTACCATGTGCTAGAAACCTGACTGAATGATTTGACAACATTATCATGTTTAATTCTCATGACAATCCAGTAAGGTAAGTATTCATACCTTCCTTTCTTTGCAGATAAGAGGGGCTCAGAGAAATTAAATGTCTTGTCAAAATCTACACAGCCAGTTAGTTGAAGAGATGAGTTTCAAATCCAGATCTGCTTGGCCCTTGCCACAACTTCATAATGAAATTCCAAGGATGAGTGTTATCAGATTCTGGCCCATACTTGCTTATTTCAAGGTTCTCATTCCATCCACTGTATCACTTTTTTTTTTTATATGCTTCATTCTTTTCTACCATAAAAAAGACTGATGATATTTATCTTTATCTTTATAAGCTTGGGAATACTCAGAATCATCATAAAATTTAGCTTTCCTCTGGCAACTTTGGAGACCCTCAGAGCTTTTCTTATTTCCAAAGACAAGGGGTTTGGATGGGAGTTATTCTTTATTTTCACACAAATTGGTCAGATGACATCTTTACTGTGGTCTGGAATAGAAGCAGAAAACAACTTGGATGATACAAAATGTGAAAGTTGGAGAAATAGCCTTAAATTCAAACTGAAATTAAATAGTTTCTTCTCTTGAAACACATAGGAGAAAAGTTACCTCAAAAGTTTGTTTATAGCTTTATTCTAATTCATGAGATAAGTCTAAGAGAATAATAAAATCATGTAAAGGAAACATCGAGAGCTTAAAGAGCATATGAGAGGAAAACAACACCATTGCAGATTTTAAAGTCACATTCTACAAAAAAGCAAAATTGGTAGTGTGGAAAACACAGAGCAGTATCACAGAGGGCAAAGTAAGTGATGTTTATGGTGACCTGAATTGTTACAAAGAAGTTCAAGTGTAACCTGAATTATTTATTAAGAAAGCAAGAAACATATTTTATAATTACTTTTTCCCAAAAATGGTTAAGTTATTATTTAGACATCGACCAGTTTCTAAGATCATCCCATATTCAAGGGGAAGAGACATAGACCCACTCCTTGGTAAGAGAAGTATCAAATGATTTGCAGACGTGTTTTAAAACCACTACACCCTCAATCCTACAAGCATGCAATCCTATCTAGCTACCTATTTCTGAAGCTCTCAGTATATTAAAAGTATATGAAAAGAAAACATTTCAGGCAAATGTATACCTCTTTTTTTAGCATATTGCGGGGGTACAAACATTTAGGTTACATATATTGCCTTTTGCACCGACCACGTCAGACCTACAAGTGTGCCCATAAAGACATCTGCACTCAAATGTTTATAGCAGCACAATTCACAATTGCAAAGATGTGGAAACAACCCAAGTGCCCATCAATGCATGAGTTGATTAATAAAACGTGGTATATGTATACCACGGAGTACTACTTAGCCACAAAAAACAATGGTGATGTATCATCTCTTGTATTATCCTGGAGAGAGCTGGAGCCCATTCTACTAAGTGAAGTATCACAGGAATGGAGAAACAAGCACCATACGTACTCACCATCAAATTGGTACTAATTGATCAACACTTATGTGCACATATGGAAGTAACATTCACTGGGTGTAGGGCAGGTGGGGGGGAGGAAGAGTTGGGTATTTTCATACCTAATGAGTGCAGTGCGCACTGCTATACCTCTTAATAGTGTTGGAGATTCAATCTGAATTTCACCTGGTCTCTTTCCTTAGTCAGCTGGGTCCCAAGGCCTCACTGTGCTCCTTTGGTGCAAGTGCGGATCCCTACAACACCCTATCTTCTAAAACTGGCCATCTCAAGAGTATCAATCCACCAGCAAGAAGAATAACAAAACAGAGTCCTTCTCTAGAAAGTTTAGAGTAAAAGGGTGAGTCAGAAGACATCCTCGATTCCATTTTCTCCTCTTTTCCCCTTGAACTTCACCTGGAGCAGGAGGTACTCCAAGGCCCTGTTCTATTGCCTCAGCCACCTAAGGTGGCAGAGAGAAAGCTAGACAATCTGTCGTTCTCTTCCACACTCTTTCCTGAATATTATCTATCATAGTTCATTTGTTCTGCTATAACAAGATACCACAATATGGGTAATTTATAAACAATAGATATTTATTTCCCCCAGTTTGGGAGACTGGGAAGTCCAAGATCAAAGCACCATCAGGTTCAGTGTCTGATGAGATCCTGGTCTCTCTGCTTCCAAGATGGAAGTATGTTCCAGAGGGCACTAACAATGTGTCCTCACATGGTGGAAGGGAAGAAAGGGCAAAAAGGGCTGAACTCTGGGGGAAGCCTCTTTCATAAAGGCCTAATCCCATTAACAAGGGAGAAGCCCTCATGACCTAATCACCGGCTAAAGGCCCCACCTGTTAATACTATTTCATTGGGGATTAAATTTCAACATGAATTTTGGGGGGACACATTTAGACCAGAACAATGTCCAATATCTAGCACATGGCAAGACAATACCTAAATGAAAAGACACAGTCTCTTCTTTCAGTGTATTTATGTCTAATTAGGGGACAAGAAATAAACAACTTCAACTCAATATGGCTATCACAGAAATGGGATATATCCATGAGCCAGTGGAAGTGAGGTGGAAAAAGACCTACATGTGTCCAGAAGAGTCAGGATAGACCTTGGAGAACAGGTAATGCAGGAGCTAAAGCCTGTAGAAATTAACCAGCATGTTAGAGCATAAGGCTTTCCAGCCAATAAAACAGCATAGACAAAGGCCAAGTCAAGAGCAGGCATGGTATGGTCAGGGAACCTCAAGTAATTGAATAATTCACTAAATCTGGGGCATAAACGACAAGAGAAAAAGGAACAAGAACTGAGACAATCAAGCAGGGAGGGACATAAGTACACGGAGGATCTTGTATGACTTACCTGAGATTTCATTTTATTCCATGAGTCACTTATTCCTAAATACTAAGTGAGGATCCAAAATTTTCCTTAATCCATGGTGAAATGAGACAAACGGGGAGTATTTTATACAGCTAAGTTAATTTTTTGAGATTATCTCT